ATTTGGGCAAAAAATGCTGAGTCAACGCTCTGAGTCCTCTTTGAAGGCCAAAAAGGACCAAGTGTGAAAACACCCTAAGAGGACTGAGTTCAGTTTGTTCAAACAGGACTATATGTGCGAACACCCCAAGATATCTCAACCATTGTACCTGGACGTTACTGTTAGCTCACAATGGAGTCAGATCAAAGATTACAGTTGGTCCACAGCTGATAAAGGTTATGTTTCTGTATACTCAATAAAAGGCTGACATTTTTTTTATAAAAGGCATCATATCTGTTTTTCAGGACATAGGTGATATTTATAGAGGCTTACAAATCATCATTTCTGATGTCCACTTTGATGTAGAGAGGGGGAATCTGACGTGCAGGTTAATGCATTACACTGCCTGGAAGAGCTATATCAATACATTTCCTAAAGCTTTGATTTAGTTTCAAGTTTGTAACATTTCCTCTGAGAAAAAAGTCCTGGATCTAATGGAATTGGTGTGTCTATAATTTTAGTGATTCTATCACACAAATTAAACTGGGCATAGTGCCCTCTGCAATGCCACACCTGAAACATACAGTACAGGCCAAAAGTTTGGACACACCTTCTCATTCAATGCGTTTTCTTTATTTTCATGACTATTTACATTGTAGATTCTCACTGAAGGCATCAAAAATATGAATGAACACATGTGGAGTTATGTACTTAACAAAAAAAGGTGAAATAACTGAAAACATGTTTTATATTCTAGTTTCTTCAAAATAGCCACCCTTTGCTCTGATTACTGCTTTGCACACTCTTGGCATTCTCTCCATGAGCTTCAAGAGGTAGTCACCTGAAATGGTTTCCACTTCACAGGTGTGCCTTATCAGGGTTAATTAGTGGAATTTCTTGCTTTATCAATGGGGTTGGGACCATCAGTTGTGTTGTGCAGAAGTCAGGTTAATACACAGCCGACAGCCCTATTGGACAACTGTTAAAATTCATATTATGGCAAGAACCAATCAGCTAACTAAAGAAAAACGAGTGGCCATCATTACTTTAAGAAATGAAGGTCAGTCAGTCCGGAAAATTGCAAAAACTTTAAATGTGTCCCCAAGTGGAGTCGCAAAAACCATCAAGCGCTACAACGAAACTGGCACACATGAGGACCGACCCAGGAAAGGAAGACCAAGAGTCACCTCTGCTTCTGAGGATAAGTTCATCCGAGTCACCAGCCTCAGAAATCGCAAGTTAACAGCAGCTCAGATCAGAGACCAGATGAATGCCACACAGAGTTCTAGCAGCAGACCCATCTCTAGAACAACTGTTAAGAGGAGACTGCGCCAATCAGGCCTTCATGGTCAAATAGCTGCTAGGAAACCACTGCTAAGGAGAGGCAACAAGCAGAAGAGATTTGTTTGGGCCAAGAAACACAAGGAATGGACATTAGACCAGTGGAAATCTGTGCTTTGGTCTGATGAGTCCAAATTTGAGATCTTTGGTTCCAACCGCCGTGTCTTTGTGAGACGCAGAAAAGGTGAACGGATGGATTCCACATGCCTGGTTCCCACTGTGAAGCATGGAGGAGGAGGTGTGATGGTGTGGGGGTGTTTTGCTGGTGACACTGTTGGGGATTTATTCAAAATTGAAGGCACACTGAACCAGCATGGCTACCACAGCATCCTGCAGCGACATGCCATCCCATCCGGTTTGCGTTTAGTTGGACGATCATTTATTTTTCAACAGGACAATGACCCCAAACACACCTCCAGGCTGTGTAAGGGCTATTTGACCAAGAAGGAGAGTGATGGAGTGCTGCGGCAGATGACCTGGCCTCCACAGTCACCGGACCTGAACCCAATCGAGATGGTTTGGGGTGAGCTGGACCGCAGAGTGAAGGCAAAGGGGCCAACAAGTGCTAAACACCTCTGGGAACTCCTTCAAGACTGTTGGAAAACCATTTCAGGTGACTACCTCTTGAAGCTCATGGAGAGAATGCCAAGAGTGTGCAAAGCAGTAATCAGAGCAAAGGGTGGCTATTTTGAAGAAACTAGAATATAAAACATGTTTTCAGTTATTTCACCTTTTTTTGTTAAGTACATAACTCCACATGTGTTCATTCATAGTTTTGATGCCTTCAGTGAGAATCTACAATGTAAATAGTCATGAAAATAAAGAAAACGCATTGAATGAGAAGGTGTGTCCAAACTTTTGGCCTGTACTGTATATCGGAAACTGTAGGATTATACAGGTGTAACTTTTGAGGGGTTAGGTACAGTTGATGGAGAAAATTGTAGTTGACTAATCTAAATCTGGGTTTTACAGTGGCAAACAAACTGTTTTCACATAAGCCAGACCATAAATCTTCATCTTAAGTAATATCTAGGTCAGATTTCCACCTCTCTCTTGATTTGTGTACATAATATTAAATCATTAATACATAAATCCTGCTAATAAATTGCCCTGAACCATTGTCACTGTAAAAAAAGTCAAGATGAACTGGATTGAATTTGTGGCACTCACCATCGCCGTTTAGTTTCCTACAAACATGTATGATCTCCCACGAAAATGAGGGCTCCATATACAGCACAAAGAAAGTGTGTGCAGCCAAAACAGGAAGAGGTTCATCCATTTTCCGTAACCGCTTACCCTGTTTGGGGTCCCGGGGGACGAAGCCTATCCCAGCTGACACTGAGCGAGAGGTTGGCTACATCCTGGACAGGTCAGCAGATTATCACATAGCTGACACATAGAGACAGACAATCATTCACAACACTCAAATTCACACCTACGGCAAATTCAGAGTCACCAATTAACCTCACCTGCATGTCTTTGGACTGTGGGAGGAAGCTGGAGTACCCAGAGGAAACCCACAATGACACGGGGAGAACATGCAGACTTGGCACAGAAGGGCTCCCCCACCCCTGGGCTTGAACCAGGAACCCTCTTGCTGTGAAACGACAATGCTAACCACTGCTTCATCATGCTGCCTGTAGTGGCTTCCCCAGCAGCTATGAGTAGCTAACCCCACTTACCAAAGACTATTTATGTAAGTTACTATCCCCAGTAGATCATCCGGTCTACAGTGTAAACTTTGGTAGTTGCTAGGCTCTGAGGCTCGGAGAAAAAGTGATCCAGTAGTCTTGCGACAGAGGCACCAACAATAATACCACTTGAATACATCCGCTTTTTGTTTTTTAAAAACACGAATACTGGCCAATATGTTATCAAAATTTTTAAATGTATGATATCCGTATCGGTCATAAAAATCCACTATTGGTTGGGCTGTTTCCATTTAATCAGGACTTTCTGTCCTGGGGGTTACTCAGTGTTACAAGGACACTGAAAAAAAGGAATGCATTTGTAAATTTACTGTCATGAATATAACAGTTTGATGGAATCTACAATGTATGCAGTCATAACTTAAAAGTTAGAACCACATACACTGCAAAGTTACAACAATAGAGTTCTGTGGGTTGACCTCTGTCTCTGGCGAGCTTGGCGAATTCCATTTTGTTGTACCTCCAAGGTAACATTAAATGATAAGTTTAAGATCTGCTGTATTCCAAATCACATACAAACTTTACTAACTGCAAGACATATGAGCAAGAGGGTCAAAGTTCAAGACGCAACGTTAAGACAAAATAAACTTCATGCAACAGCACGCACTCTGTAAGGGTAGCTGCAGTACGTACTGAAAGTGAAATCTAAATCAGTCGTTCCCAACTGGTGGGTCATGGTCGAAGAGTGGGTCACAGGTCCACAAGTGACTTGTAAATGTGTCAAGTTCATAAAAAACAGTCTTTTTAAAGTAAAGTACATCTCTGCCACAGAGTTTTCTGTAACACTTTACTAGAAGGTATCTACATAAGAGTGACATGACACGGTCATAACTATGACATGACACGGCCATGAACCTGTCATGAACATTACGTACATGTCATAAATGTTTATGACTGCTGTCATTGAGTGTCATTTGGGTTTTGTAATGACAAGTTGACATTACATTTGTTTGGGATGTCCTTATTATGACAACTTGACATTAACCAGGATGACATTACCAGAAAATGTCTTTGTCATAACAATAATAATCATTATGTCAACTTGTCATAAACACAAAAAGAGGTGCATTTCTGGTTCATGTCAAGGTGTTATGACAAAGACATCTTCTGGTAATGTCATCCTGGTTAATGTCAAGTTGTCATTATAAGGACATCCTAAACAAATTTAATGTCAACTTGTCATGTCATAGTTATGACAGTGTCATGTCACTCTTATGTAGATACCTTCAAGTAAAGTGTTGCCAAGTTTTTATTTTGAAGTGCCGTTTCCTGCTGTAGAGTGAGTAATGGACTGTTACTTAACAGAGACAGGAAACTAGCTTGACAACATGGCAAAACACACACATGACGCTGAATAAATTAAACTGTGTGGACCTTGAACCAATGACTAAGGAGAAATCTGGACCCTGTGACTGGACCAGCTGGGAACCACTGATCTAAAATTTATGCGATTCAGAAGGCAGAGTTGTTTTTTTATGCACAAAATGTTAACAAGTTTTCATCACCTTTATAGAAATCAAAGGTTTTGATGCATCAAGATGCCTTGATAATGGTTTTACAATCGCATCGTAGCACTCCTGAATCTGAATGCAGTCGTGACGTGCCTTGAGATTCCCATCTTTAAAGCAAAAATGCTGTCCTGAAATCTGTCAAGATGGTTTGCTCCTGACTCATCCGCTGAGATGTTACTAATCTAAAGGGAATTTTTAATTACCCTGTGACTCTCCGTGTTCCTGTTACAGGGATTCATCCCTCAAAACGCTAACTTGTATCTGAGTCAACCCAAGCTGACACCATAAATTGTTCTGTCAAGCCGCAGAGGCGTTGACTATCAAACTAATCGTTTTTTATCAGGCTCCTGAAAGCTACATCTCATGACTCTAAGCTTCAGTGAGTCAGTGATTTGTTGCCCCTGTAATGTTGCCTTTTTGTCCTTCAGATTCCTTCAGTCACCAACCAAAGACAAGTAGCCACTCTCAATCACGTCTTTTATTTGTAAGGCACCAGAGAAGCTTCCTTACTGCTAAAAGGTTGATTCATTCTCATTAGAGTACACAGTTGCTTGTTTACATCTTTGTATTTTTTTTTTCTTTTTTTGCCCCAGGTATCTTAAAATGAGACTGTGTTCATAAACACATTAAACTGTTCTTTTTTTTGTTTGCACAAAAAAAGATAAAACATTTACAAACCTAGAAAACAATGTTAAGTGTTACTGCCTACTGAAAGAATGGGAGAGAGAGAAAACAGGAAAAAACGACATGGTATACAACATTGTGCCTCTCTTTAACTGTAGGCTTGTAATGCACACACACAACACCAAAGTCTTCCATGATACACACACGTTAAAAAGCAGCTTTGAAACATACAAAAATGCTTTAAAAAATATGTATATTGATATATTCATATGTATACAAATTGGCCCTTCACAGCAAAAACAAACACACATACCATTCATATGTCTGAGTTTTGCCAAAGGAGGTTTTCTAACAGAGACTGACGTCAGCATAAAGAGTGCCGATGACTCACTGATCTGTTCTCGCACTCCATACATTAAGGTCAAATCTCCAGGGAGGGAAAATCATCAGCTCCCAAACACTAGCACAGACAGGAAGAAGAAAAAAACAAAACAAAAAAAGAGCACTGAGCCACAACGTAAGTGCCTTTCAAATTAAAATACAGAGGAAAAGGTAAGCTCCGATCTCGGACGTGCTCAGACGCTAAAAGGTGGGTTGTCAAAGCTCTGGACAGCACTCACATTACAGGGGAGATACAGCTAACACCTGCTGCAGTGGACAGACGCTCGTCCCTCAGTCAGGAAATGAAGACGAGAAGAGAACAGCAGTGACAGTAAGGTGAGCACAGCAGACCAACCTGGACCTCCTCAGACACAGGGAGGACGTCAGTCTTGTGAACGTTGCTTCATAGTAATGATCAATGAGAGAGCGCTGCTGCCCTCTGCTGCTTCAAATATCAACCATACACCTCAGCTGAGTCCCATTTCTACAATACATACTAACTGCAAAAACATACTGCGATGCATTTAGTATTTAGTATACTTGACACCCGCTCCATTAGAGGTCAATTAAACTGCAACTTTAGGAAGCCACTGCAAATTAAAGTGAACATCAACATGTTTTCCTAAAATAAATTTCTGAGAGGTTCCTGGACGAATTTCACCATCTACCATTTTTTTCCCCCAGCTCCTTTTTTTGTCCGCACACTCGACTGTTTGCGCATACCACAAAACTAACGCTGTCGTTAGGTGACGTGCATGATGCACTACAAATCAAAGTTAAGCTACGCTCAACTTCTGAGACATGTATAGATTCAGACACATTTTTTATGTAGCGTACACGACACGCTCCTACAAATTGCCCCTGCTACTTCTACAAGGGTTAGGTTTAGAATCTAAAAGACAAACCCACCAACGCAACGGCTATATGAATGCTAACTTAGGATTTTCTTCAAGGCTTCCAACTCCGGACCAAGGAGCAAAGGAGGGTAATCGTGGACTGATGTGTAGGTACAGTGGGCGAGTCATGTAGCTAGTGGGCAGGTCACATAGCTGCTCCAGCCACAGCTATACCTATACAACTTTATCAGCGCTTCAATGATGCCGTGAAGCATCAACCAATCCTGTGTTTGTGTTTCTAAACGTGGTACTGCGTTATTTTGCTAAGTTAGCTGACGCTGTGCTAGTTTTCTGTGTATTGTGGTGCACAAAAGTTTGCAATGGGGCGTGGCCGAATACAAACTATAGACAACTTTCAGTCCAGGTGGCGTGTTGCAAGTAAGAGACATGCAGAAGCCCGTGATGACATAACTAAGTCAATAAGGGGCCTGAGCAACACTTTGACGGCGTTTCAAGGTGGTCACGCTGTTGCTTTGTCCCTTGTAGTGTGAACACAGCATAAGGTCAGGGTTTTGTTCTCTTGCCCGGTAGGTAATTGAGTCAGGAATCTACTTGCCCAAAGTCAATTTTTACTTGCCCCTATAAAAGTGATTAATTAGAGATTATCAAATAATAACAAAGACTAAAGGTAACTCATGAAAAATGACTCCGTTATATCCACCTTGCTCTTACACAAACTGCACAATATACAGTTGGAGTTTCGGCCACATCCTCTAACACCATCCAAATGAACTGTTTCCAGGATATCTGAAACGCTCGCTTGCCCTCCAACTCTCAAACATTGTCTTTTCCCTTTGCCAAATTGCAAATGTTCTTTTTAACACTTTCCTGACAGGGCAAGAGAGCTGCTAGATTTACCAGCCTGACGTGGCATTTTACTTGCATCGGGCAATCAGGCAATCATTACTGTTGACCCCTGAAGGTTACCCTAAAAATATTTAGTCTGTATGGCGTGTCATTCGACCATGTAAGAGGGCAAAATTGTAGCTGTTTCAAGCAGCCAGACTTTAAAAGTGTGATGATTTGCCGACATCATAGAGAGGGACGACAGCGTTTGCTTGAGCTATGGTGATAATCACTTAAACATGGGGACTGCAGCACTACACGTTTCAGACAGCCATCATCGTCATGCTGACCTTGTTTGTCCACATGAAAAAGTGAAAGAAGGACTACTTTGTCACCTACACACACACCAAGCCAATTTGCATTAAATGGGTTTGAAGGATGGATTGACGACTTTAAAACGTTAAAAAAACTGGTCAGTTGCAGCTGATCCATTTACACCATCTGACAAGTGTGGAGGGAGATTTTTGATGCACTTCTGATGAAGCACCCGGATGCCTCCAGTGGATTTTAAATCCATACTACATACAAGTGTTTGACTATGTTCACACTAGCCTTTTTACGGACCTCTATATCACCATCTACAGAACACAAAATAGGAGTCAAGTGTCATTACAGGCTATATTCACTCTGAAAGTGGAGCAAAATCCCTCAATTAGGTTTGAGCAGTATCAAGCTAAGTAGATAGCATATACTATATAGAATAAGCATGTAGTATGGAATTGGGAAAATGGTTGACTTTTTTGCAACAGGACACAATAATTTGGTCACCAGGACAAATTCTGACCGTGAGACTCTCATTTTAATATGCTGTTTTCTAAGGGAACGCTTGCTTACAGAGCTTTAGCAACTCACCCCAGACACATTCTTCATTAAAACAATGCGAAAACAAAAAAAAGAGGGGGGAAGATCTTCCCCTGACAATCACACACAAGTTAAACAAGACAGGAAAAGACAGGTGCTTGATACAGTCTCAGTATATGAACTGAAGTGCTTTTCTAACTTACAGAAATACAGTACTAGTTTGTCTTTTACGACCGTCTGGTTCTGAAGTTTAGATCCTGTTCAAGTTTGTCTTGGTCAGTTAAAGAGTGGACCAGAACGAGGGAGGGGGCAGGAACAGAGGGCGGGGTGGTGGTGGTGCGAGGAAAATACAAAAGGTGCTTTAAGAAAAAAAAAGTTAAATTAAACAAATGTTTTCTTCTTTCCGATCACATTCACTCGAACACATGCAGACACATTTTGAATGTCTAATTAGCCTATCATGAAAACGTGTCAAAATAAAGTCAATTTTTTTTTTCAGAGCTTAAATTCTTGTCGTTTAAAGACGAGTCATGGTCCGTGCCATGTAGCGTGCGTAGCAGCAGCAGCAGTAGCAGCAGCAGCTAGGCCTATGAAAGACAAATTAATCCGCCAAGATGGGCATACTACCATTTGTACAAACAATAGTTTTTAATGGAATAAAATCCCATTTATTCGGGACTGAGGTACACAGCTAGGGTAATGCATCCAGTGGTTGGTCTTATGAATATGCAAACAAAAAAAGCAGGTGGTTTATGTTCGAAGGGTCTGAATGCACCTGACAAGTGAACTGTCCCTTTAAAAACATCCTATTTAACATCAGACTAAGATTTAATTTGGCTCCAAGTACATAAATAAACTCTCCAAACAGCTCCACATTTTTATTTTGGAAAACAAAATGATGGAGCTGCTGTACGTTATGAGTGAAAGGACAGGAGTTAAAGGGGACTGAGATGTTGTTAAACTGCTCACTGTGACTGGCAGACGGGCCAGTAAGACACAATCTGAGGGACCGAAGAGGACGTGGACAAAAAACACTGGAAACAGATCCGATAACAAAAAAGAATTAAGAAGTATAAACCAGTGAGAGGCAGATCTGTGTAAGGGACACTGCTGTTAGCTTTCATCCTCAGCGCTCACTCCAAAGGGGAAAACATTTATCTCGGTTAAGCCTAACAACAGTGGCTTACACTAAAAAAGCATCTATTTAAAGTCTAGAAGCCTGAACTGAGTCTATTACCACTAAATAATAAGAACATTTAACTCTCACTCTCAGCCATTCAGCAGTTTCGTTCTCTGCACATCCACAAATCTGTCCTCTCTGCGTGTCCTCATCCCTGCAGTTACTCTTCTACATCAACACTCAGCAGACAGGCAGCCAGACTTACATCAACCTCCATTTACAGTTACAGTTTTACCTTTCCTTTTTTTTTTTTTTTTTTTAAATATTTTTTATTAGCCACTTCCCCCCCCTACAACGCCCCCCTCCAAACCTCCTCGCTGTGTCTGCACTAGTCTGACTTGTCCCCGTCCTCTCCTCTGGGCGCTCTCTCTGCAGCTTCCCGGGCCTTGTCCTCCTTCACCGCCTGGGCCTGGCCGTGGGAGTAGTTGGCCAGGATGGAGGAGAGGGACAGCAGGCCGGAGCTGGAGGAGACGGCGGGCAGGGTGGGAGGGGTGAGGCCCAGGGGCAGCGGGGTCACAGGCAGGGCCAGGCCCTGGAGCTGGGACAGGTGTTGCACCTGGAGCTGTTGCTGAAAACACACGAATGGTGGACAGAAGTCAGAACTTCTCATTTGCATGTTTAAATTTGTGGCTAATCATGCGGCACAATGTTCTCACATTTAGTGCATATTTATGTTAACATTAATATTCTCCATTTCATTGCTTGAAATGTCTTGAAGTAATGACTACTTGCAGGGTTAGTTGGTGAACTACTGCAACTAGCGAGCTACACAATAACATCTTGACAGCTGTGCTTTTAGATACGTTCTCCCCTCTATTAAATATAAAAGGAGGCCCCCACATGCTTGAGCTTTACACTGCTGACTTGTATAATCAGAACAGACATGTCCTGTGATTTTCAGCCTTCTATGATTATACTTACCCTTTACAGCAGGTAAATCCTGACAGCTGAGAATATTACTGTCAGGTATTGTCCCCCCTCTATTAAATATGAAAGGAGGCTGAAAATCACAGGACATGTCTGTTCTGATGATACAAGTCAGCAATCCTGAAATGTTCTCTTCTATGATACACATTCTACATCTCGGAGGTGACGTCTTTCCAAATACAGGCTTCCTTCGCCTTTCAAACAGGGCAGAGCTCCGTGGGAAACAGTAGGAGAGACACAGCCCAAGGTGGAACCGGAATCTGACACAACACTGGAGGGAGAAGCGGCTGGACGCCGGACGAAAAAACAAGCGCGTCCCACCGAATGCGTGGCGCTACAGCGTCACTTTGGGTTGTGATGTCTACATTGAAAGTAATAGGTTTGTGCGCACAAAAGACGCTACATCTGAACGCCCCCCATGCACACACACACACACACACACACACACACACACACACACACACACACGCCTTAACCAAGGCGGAGGACAAAATCACCCAGGCAGCCCGCCTTTGTCTTAGATAGGCTGGGAAAACCCTGCTAGCCACCACAAACATGCTGGAGCTACCGAGTCAAAACTACCTAGCTTGCTAGTTCAGTCAGTACAATTTATTTATGGAGCTTATTTATAAAGTTTCTCATTTTATCACGACCCATTTCACATTATAACTAGGTATTTTCCAGGTCATGGCATTTTCCTCACTATTACTATATATTAAACTACCGGATAACAGCAAATACTAAACGATTCTGTTTGAACAAGAAACTTGTGTTAGAATATATCATCAAATTCACTTTGTTTCACTACATCAGTATCCTATTACACAGAAATTAACTCATCAAAACAAGATTTGTTTCTCATTATAAACTGATAAGTTGCCATGTTATTATAACACCCTTCACACACTGTTAAAGTTGGGTTAGGCAGTTTTATTTTGGCGTCACTGAGCAAATTTGCGATAATAATCTTTGAGCGTACTGTAATTCAAGTGGTCCGAGAGGTAACTTTTTTTCAAATTTTTCAAATTCTGTTTGTTTTTTCCCTCTCCAGAAAACTGCCTACATCAGAAATGACCAAAAAAAATCCACTCAGTACATGAAGAGTCACTGCAGCCTGCTGCCTTGAAAAATGGACAAGGTTTATGTTGTAATGGTTCGATTTAGTTTCAGTTCATGCTCTGCAAGAGACATGATTCGTCTATCATCTACATCCGCTTAAGTCTTTTATAAAGCTCACCCGTATAATGGAGTTCATCTCAGGGGGCGTGACTTGCTTGGCTCTCTCTATGGCGCCCATGACTTGTTGTTGATGCTGAAACAGATAACACACGGTCAGCTTTACATGTAATGCCTAAGCATGGCTGGGAATCTTAAGCAAAGAGAGGACAAGTGATGAGATTACGTATTTATATTGCTATTTATTTATAGTCTCAGGTTGAGATTGAACATATTTATGAATGAACACGTGAGTGTCATCACCTCTTGTGACAGGTAAGGCAGCACCTGAGCACAGATGCCATTCAGTCTCTTCACTATTTCAGCCTGAGGAGAAAAAAGGCGGGAAAAAAAGGTCAGATGAGCAAACTAACAAATATGAGCTACTACACGAAGGACTCATTGTAGGAGACGATAATTACCTGTTTGTGCATTTCAATGTTCAGCCCATAGGACATTTCATAGTACTGCAAAAACAAAAAGGGCGAAAAAGACACATACACACACACACACACACACACACACATAAACCGAAGATGTAAACTTGTGGCACATTTTTTACACCTACACAAAAAACTAAGAAAACTTCTGTGTGCAGTACACAACACCAGAAAAAAAGCATACACATTTAAGTTTAGATAAGAATACACTTTGTAATTTGTGAACATAAATACTGTGTGTAGATTATGTACTGAGAAATCTATCTGTAATTGATCACTGGCTATTAGAGAAGCTTTAAAGGGACATGTCTGATCATGTGATGTGTGAACTCAAGGAAGCCACTATGTAAAACGCAATCTGAGATTATGTGCGACTAAATTAACAAACGGAGAGAATCTAGACATTCCTGGTGTGCACTGGAATTTCTGTGTTCACACTGCAACGCTAAGTGACTTTGGTTGGTATATTAGAGGAGATCAGATGAAGACAAACAGCCACATCGAACTGACGAGACTGAATGCGACACTTACCATGATATAGTGACGCTGCATCTCTGACTTTTCAGAAGCCAGTTTGTCACACTCCAACTTCAAACTAGGAAGAAAGAATATTAATATTTAATAGAAGTTGGTTTGTCGGCAAACGTGCATGTTGTCAGTGAAAGAATAGTTAGACATTTTGGGAATTTTATAATCTTTATACTAAGATGATCACTTGCTGACCCTGAGTGATATCATCTCACCATCTACCTCTTAGCACAGACGGCAAAGGAGTGTATTCCCCACAGTGTCTAACTATTAGTTTAATGCATGCAGTGTTATTCATCATCAGACTGTTTTGGTGTGAGTTGCCGAGTGCTGCAAATATCGGCTATACAGATGTCTGCCTTCTCTCCAATATAATGTAACTAAATGGTACTTGGCCTGTGGTTCTCAAAGCATCAAAAAAATGCCAATACATTTGAAAACTTCAACAGCAATGTCTCTTTACAGAAATCATGACCCAGTTACTCAAGATAATCCACAGACCTTGTTGTGAGCAGTTTCATATAGGAACTATTTTTTGTCTATGGAACTACACCTGCCAACTGCATCACCACACAGAAGGAAGTGTGCATCTACTCATAGACGAGTGGTTACTTCATGTGACAGTGCGAGATGTAAAAGTTAATGATGTCCTCCTCTGCTGCAGAGTCCTGCACTGGGTCGGGTACCTGCAAAAACAGCTGATTTGCAGGTGGTTTTTAAAAAAACATTTTTTCCTGGGTTCGGATCTGGGTGGAAAAAATAACATGCAGGTCGGATCACGGGTTTTAGATAAACACATCAGTCATTAGTTCGGTAAACTACTGATAACTACCTTGGTCATTATTTACTCTCTGAGGATCGCCACCGCTATTTCGCAACGGTCACTGGTTCAGCTGTTTACACGCGTTTCACCATCTAATAACACAATTTGTGATTGGACGACAGAATCAACATGGCTGCCACCGTCTAACAAGCGCCTCTTCCAAAACAGTAAATAATTATTTAGGTATTTGAGAAATAAGTGGATAAAACGTACAACTATGACTTTATAATGTTTCTGAAGTGTTTCCCTGATGGATTACTTCTCTCCTCGATGGATTCTAAAAACACGTGACGGCCCGTAACTGCTGAACGTCGCTCTGGACAGAAAGTAAGTCTATTATTACACATGTAAAGTTCCTTTACATAGATTAAAAGTTTAAAAGCATTAAACGTAACAAACGAGTGCTTTTACACTCGTATGGGAGAAGAACACAGAGGGTTGATGATGGAGCTGAAGTCAGGTTTTTATTGTGAGAGCTGCTTCATTCAGGTCGTTGTTCACTTACTGGCACCTTAACTGTGGCGATATGCTGTTCAATATTCAGCCAATAAGACCCAAAATGATTACTTTAAATCCAGGTTACGGGTCGGGCTGCGGGTCGTGTTTCAACGGGTCGGACCGGGTTGCGGTACTAATTGGCCTGATGCGCGGGTTTGCGGTTTGGGGGCGGGTTTGTACGTCGCCGGGTCAGGGCGGATCTTGAAAACTGGACCCGTACAGGACTCTGCTCTGCTGCGCTTCAACGTTACCTAACTCAGTAATGCAAGGTGAGCTAACAGTAGATGCATGCTTCCTTCTGCATAGTGATACAATTGGTGGGTGCAATTTAGTAGAAAGAAAATAGTTCCTACATGAAACTGCTCACAACAAGGCCTGTGGATTATCTTGAGTAACCACATCATGATTTATTTGAGTTTTTCAAATGTATTTTTTGGCACTTTAAGAACCACAAGCTGAGTGCCATCTGGTTCCATTATAATGGAGAGAAGGCAGACATCTCTACAGCCGCTATCTTCAACAACTCACAAATAACACCACAAGTAAGAGGAAAATTATGTATATTTGGTTTTGATTACACTACACTGAGCATCCTAATGCCAGCAAATGAACTTTGACTCTAATGAATTCTATTGACTAGATTAAGAAGGGCTAGGATGCAACAATATTTTAAAGCCCAGTTCAGACCAAAGATTCGCAATAAGACAAAACAGTTTTAGAACATTGTAGAGAGATCCAGTGGTGTGAACTGGCCACTCTAAGCTCGACTCAAGCTGGGTGATGGTGTCACCTGCTTGTAGGGAAGTCTGCTGGTCAAGATAAAAAGACCACAGACGGAGTGTTTGCTTTCTGCAGCAGGTGCTCCGTCGCTGCTGAGCCCTCTGTTGCTGTCCTCACGTGTGCCGGTGTCGGATGATGGGTTTGCTGCTGCTGCTTGGTGTATGTGCTTATGGCCCCTTACACACACACTCTCATTGACTGATTAATTGGCACTGGTTATTTATATTATTGTGGCGTATTTATCATGAATACAGTCCATCTGATGCTTTAGGTTTGTCACCATTTCATCACTAATACAAATGCAACTATCATCACTATCCTCATTCATATTTTAAGAGGCTACAAATTATATTCAGCCACAAAATGAGCCTGAAAAGCTGCAAAGCAGAACAGCAGAACAGAGAGTTGTTGCAAAGAGATGATACACCATCTCCTCTAGTTGCACTGGTGTGAACCGGCAGGTTTTTAGAACGTTGCAGAATGGCACGTTGCAAGTAGTTTCCTGTTTCAACTCATCTCTTTGCAAATCTTTGGGCTGAACTAGACTTTAAAAGCCAGTAACAACAACCAGTATTTTCCTATACGTAGCGGCTTTAGACAGACAATTCCAAAGACACATCTATGTTGAGACAGCTGATATGCCAAGTGTCACACTCCCACAAAATGAGGAAGAAGCTAAATGAACTCACTATGAACTCAATATAAGATGTATTTTTTAATAGGCAGAAAGCTGCCTTGCAAAGAGATATTCCACTAACGTCAGTTGCATTTGTCATAATAATAAACCTTGGGACAATGTTTCAGACTGAAATAATATTAAGTGTGTGCATGGCTGTGTTAACCGCATACCTGTGGTACTGTGCTTGGAGGAACTGGAACTCATCCTTGATGCGGTCACAGGAGTCAGAAGTGGTGAACTTGAGAGGTTGACTGGACTGAGAGGACGCCTGGAGAACAGAACAACATGATCGATTCTTATAAAGTCACATAGGGGCCTAAATTACATCCACAAAGGCCCCTGCATCCAGGTCGAGGCCCTCAGTGTGAAACCAGACTCTGGATGCTTACACATTCCCCAACCAGTCTAGCAATAAAGGAATTGAGAATGCCCTTTTCAGATACTGGTTCCACTGGTGTATATGTCTGTGTCCTGCTGCTGAAAGTGTGTGTGTTTGGGTTTGTTTAGAGACAGCAGTTGACCTCTGAGATTAACCCTTTGAGAGGATAGCTAAAATGAAGGTCAGCCTAAACGGGGCGTGCGGGGAGTGCGGGGAGTGCGGGCGTACAGTATAAATTGAGATACAGAACGAGATGCTGTGTTTAATTTGTTGACAAATTGATACGCAACATCTGTCTTTAGAAACCCACGGGGCTGTTTCAGGACCGCGCAGCGTGGTGATTGAGGAAATGTGTTTAAAGGAGGCGAGATTAAAGCAGGTTGACCATATGTGAGAAGTATTTAGAGGCTGCGTTAGAAGTCTGGTTATGTATTGACTACACTTAAACCATCAATCCAAAGCTTTAATCCAGGGTTTATCCAGTTCCCTAAACCTCATTACTCTCTAAATAAGTGGCACAAGGGCGAGAGGTTTCAGGCGGGATTACAGGGCTGAACAGAGAGGATGGAGTCACCCGGTTACACATGTCAAAACCCTGCATCCGAAATACACAGTGCACTAGTGTAGTGCCAAAACTATACTGTAACATTTGTGATACTAAACAATTAATCAATTGGCTTAATGGATAATTAAAATAACAAATAATTAAAATAACAAATAATTAAAATAATAAATATTCACCTTTTCCTGCTCCTCAAAATTTCAGAATATATATCTTTGTGTTTCTAAATGTTGGTCAGCCTGAGCAAGTTATTTGACATTTTCTAGACTAAAAGATTTTTTATGATATGTTAATAAATAATGAACAGATTGGTCAATAATAAAAATAACTGTCAGTCACAGCTCTGCAGAAATACATGCATGTTTGGAGAGCATGCATGTCTCTCTTTAGGAAGATCATGCTTGCCTCAGAAACAGGAACAGCTGTCACATGTTGAAACTAACCAACAAGTATATACATGTGTCTGTTTGTTTTTTTTTTAACATAAACTTCATCTGCAACCTTATATGACCATGAGACACCACAATGTGAGTATTTGCGGCGGTGCTTCAGTTAATGGTCTGTGTTATTTTGTGCGTGCAGTGCAGCACTTTTCTCAACTGTGGTTTGCAAGGGTCATTTCCTGCTCTGGGTGTTCATTGTTTCATGTTGGGGTTTTGGGCTTTAGTTGGTCATGAAATTCTAATATTATATGTAACAAGTAATAAAATAAGAACAGGGCTGCACACAGTTACTTTCTTTATAGATTAATCTGTTGCTTGTTTCTTTAATTAATCATTTGGTTGATAAAGTGTCAGAGAATAGTCAGAAAACAAAGTGAGACATTCCCATCACGGAGTCTCAGAGCACCGTATGACACACTGAAACTGACTGTTGTTACCCACCAACAGTCCAAAACCAAAAGACACTCAGTTTACCATCATGAAAGACAAAGAAAACCAGCATATATGCACATTTGAAAAGCTGTAACCAGTGAGTTTTAACTATTTTTGCTTGAAAAATGACACAAAGCAAATAATCGTTACTACAACTGCAATAATCCATTGACAGAAAATTAGCAACTATTTTGATAACCGAATAATAATCTTAGTCTTTGCAGAGATAGATGCTAATATTTTTGGCATATTTCTGGCCTCACGGACTACTAAGCACCGAAACTGGGTTGCCAAAATACATTTTTAATGGCCCAAATGTGAACCTGTGTAAAAATATAAGGAAATAATCTACTTCTGGGCAATATTAAAACAATTTTAAAAAGAATTGTGACAGGGAGGGATATAATTTGAGAGGAAAACTAAATCTAAAAAAAAAGCATTGTGTTTGTACAACCTTGAAAAGTATGTGCATCTCAGTGTGTGGGGTCGATCTATAAAAAACAACTATAGGGCACTTTTAAAAGAAGTACAGACACAGTAGATCTAGGAGGCATGCAGACGAAGAAGAGCTTATACTGATGGGCTGGTTTATCTAATTATCTGGGGTCGTTTGAGATGGGGTCTGTATATTTCATATATAAGACTGTAGTTTATTTATCTATGTCAATGGTTGTACATTAGTTTGGGATAGTTGTTGACAATTTTTTGCTCAAAATTAAGTCATTCATTGATTCGTTTATTCAAAATATAGCCTACAGAAAAAGCAATTTAATGCAGCTTCACAGCCTTCCTTACATGTTACACTTCAATGAATGAAGAACATTAACAGAATTTTAAAAATCTTTATAAGCATATGGCATATTCAGGAAGAGACACTAATATTATTAAGCCACCAAGCCCCTAAATTTGGTGGCCACACAGTAACTTTTTGTGGCCACGGGCCATTGGGCTACAGTTAATGTCAAATCCTTTTTTGTTTGAGCAAAAATGATGAACACACTCTGGTTTCAGCTTTTTAAATGTGAGGATTTATTGCTCTTCGTTGTTTAATATAACTGAACTGGATAGTGGATACTGAAGATTTCTACTTGTGTGACAGGCCTTTTTCACTATTTTCTGACATTTTACAGACCAAATGATTAATCAGAGCCTGAATCATTTCACCTCTGCACATTTTTACCAAAAAAATAACACCGATTAGCATGCAAACTGCTGTAACTTGACCCACTACTGTTGGGAGTGTTTCCAGTGGTGCTTCAGTTAAGGCCTTGGTCAGTAAGTATTTGTGTGCACCTGTGCACCTCCTTCCTGATGTATGTAACCTTGGAAAGGCTCCTTTTCTTGTTTATATTTTATTTATTTAACCTTTATTTAACCAGGAAGTCCCATTGAGATTGAAACTCTCTTTTACAAGAGAGACCCGGCCAAGGTAGCAACAAATACAACATATAATACAAAAATCCACAGTACAACAACAACTATTCAAACATAGTGGCCTCTCAAGAAAAAAACACATCTGTCACAACATTCTTTATGATGCCCTTAAATTCATCAATAGATAAGTGTTTCTAATTTTAGATATTTTTGTTGTTCTGTTGGTTGCTGACAGAAACTACTTAATGCATTTAGTTTGGCATTAGTCATGACTTCTAGACTGTTATACTGATCATACAGCATGATTTACCTGCAGCTTTTTGGGGCCTTGTAAAGCAGGTATTTGTCTGACTTTGCATTAATTTTCAACCTCTGCAATGCTGTTTCAGGAGGTCATTTCAATTAAATAATTTCAAATCTTTTTCCACAGGGTGTCCAAATAGTTTTGTCAAAGCCATAGGTAGCATATAACTACATTTGTTGTGCCATTATATCAATGCAACTTGGTTTGTTGACAGTAAAAACACTATATTAAGCTAACAAACTAAGAACATCATGCTAACTTACTCACAGACTAAACCATAAAGTTGAATTAGCTGTTTTGACTAACAGCTAGCTAACTGCAGACTGTGTTTGCAGCCGGATATAAGACTTTTGAAAATGTCTCCTTGGTCTTTAGGTAAGTGTGATAGGCCTTTTTCACTAGTTTCTACCATTTTACAGACCAAATGATCAATCACCTAATGGATAGATGATAATAATCTTAAGTTTCAGCCTGAAACATTTCACCTCTGCATATTTTTACCAAAAAATAATACTGATTAGCATGCAAACTGCTGTAACTTGATCCACCATTGTGTTTCCAGTGGTGCTACAGCTATGAAAGGCTCCTTTTTTATTACTTAATGGGCGTTGACAGAGACTACTTGATGCATTCAGTTTGACATCAGTTGGTCATGACTTCTAGATAATGATAATAACCATATAGCTTGATTTACCTGAAGCTTTTTAGGGCCTTGTAAAGCAGTTATTTGTCTAACACTGCATCGCTGTTTCAGCCCAATATTTGCAGCCGTACAGGTCATTATAATTAAATAATTTCAAATCTTTTTCCACAGGGTGTCCAAATTGTTTTCTCACAGCAAAAGGGTTTTATATAACTACATTTGCTGAGCCCTTATATCAATGCGACTTGGTTTGTTGACAGTAGAAACACTATATTAAGCTAACAAACTCAGAACATCATGCTAACTTACTCACAGACTAAATGTATTTTGTGTGCACCTCTTTCCTGACTTATACATCCTCTGTAAGGCTCCTTTTCTTCTCTTGGTGGCTGTTGACAGACTACAATAATGCATTTAGTTTGGCATTAGTTAGACATGACTTCTAGATTGTTATAATAATCATATTGCATGATTCATCTGCAGCTTTTTGGGGCCTTGTAAAGCAGTTATTTGCCAAACTTTGCTTCAATTTTCAACCTTTGCAATGCTCTTTCAGCCCAATACAGGCCATTTTAATTAAATAATTTCAAATCTTTGTCCCAATTGTTTTGTCAAAGCCAGAAATTGTATATAACTGCATTTGCTGTGCCCTTATATTAATGCTACTTGGTTTGTTGACAGTAGAAACACTGAAGTAAGCTAACAAACATCATGCTAACTTACTCACAGTCTAAACCATATAGTTAAATTAGCTGTTTTGACTAACAGCTAGCTAACGGCAGACTGTGTTTGCAGCCAAATATAAGACTTTAAGTGTTATAGTTGGTATTTATATTAATTTAAACTCCATATCTAAAGTCTGTCCTGCACTATGACGGTACAAATGTGTTGAGGAGCTGTGGAGAGGTCTGGCATTGTGAGGCTGACAGCTACCTGCAGCCAGCACAGCTAGTATCAGCTGTCGGTTGCTAGCTAGCCGTTAGCTCAGCTCGCTTCACTTGCTTAGTTTGCTGCTGGGACAAGTTGAACTAGCAAACTTACCGAGTGCCTGGATTGAGGAAACATCATGTCAGCAGTGTGTGTCGCCGTGTTCCCTTGGTCTAGTCGAATCACCGGGCTAGCTGGCTAAGCTAACAGGTCTCCAGATATTATTAAATGATTGGAGACGCTATTCGCACTTTGTACTCTGTCATCGTTTAAAATAACGTTAGCTAACGTCAAAGCAGCGGGAGCCGAAGATCGTCCTCTGGTCTTTGCGGTCGGGTAAACCGCTGCCTCCGAGGATGAGCGGGCTAACACGAATAAAAGGGTCTTCAAAGGGACATCAGGTTTTTTTGGAATAACGTTAACGTTACACCTCCCCGGGGAAACCCTGGATGTTGACACATGAGCCCCCGACTTTCCTCTGCTTTGAAGAGAAGAGCAGCATCACCCGGAAAACAAACCGACCAACGGAGGAGCGGGCGCCCCGTGTGACACAGAGCTGAACTGAACCTCAGCACAGCAGCCTGCAGGGCCGGAGCACAGACCTCTGGGGCCCCCAGCCACTGTCTGACACAGGGGGGGTTAGATTACCTGATTCACTGTGCATCAGTGCTTTTAGTTAGTTGATTAATTGCTATTTAGTAAAGGAATTTGCACCACTAGAGTTCTGGATTAACTAAAGGGGTGACATACTCGCTGTATTTTGGACACATTAAAGCAAGTTCACCTTGCTGGCTTAATACGTGCACACACCAGTTTGATTACTGGCTTTGTCTCTGAGGGAGGGTCTTATGGGTCACAACAAATCTGATTGATGCTTTTTGGAGCAATCATTCCAGAGAAATCATGAAAAAACTACCAAGATACACTGTGTCTGCTCTATTTCAGAGTGCCGGAGCACTGCTTAAAGGGAAATTTCAGTTTATTTCAACCTGTCTCCTATCGCCTTAAAGTGACTAGTGACATAAAAATAATAGTTAGCATGTTAGCCGTTAGCCTAGATACAGCCGGGGCGCATAGTAGCGTCAGACCTGTTAAAACGTAAGTGAACGGGCATACTTCAAGTGCAAAGTTAGTCCACTAAACAAGCTTTTTTCCACAAAGACCACCTCATATCGTTAGGATAAATGTCAGAGAACATATAGAAAACGACATGTAAACGTGTTGTCTTACCTTGCCGGTGTGGTGCCATGTTTGGTGGTGGTGCCACGCGGCTGAAATATTGCGAGAACAAGCAGCGATCTCATACCAACATTTATCCTAACGGTATGAGGCGGTCTTTGTGGAAAAAAAGCTTTTTTAGTGGACTAACTTTGCACTTGAAGTATGCCCGTTCACTTACGTTTGAACAGGTCTGACGCTACTATGCGCCCCGGCTGTATCTAGGCTAACGGCTAACATGCTAACTATTATTTTTATGTCACTAGTCACTTGAAACAAATTTAGGACGATAGGAGACAGGTTGAAATAAACCGAAATTTCCCTTTAACACATAACAGCCAGGGCTGGGAAGGCTGACGTACACCTCTCTAGAAATGTAACTACACATCACAGTGATGTGGACCTCCTGTCTATTTCTGTAAGCTGAAACCATTTCCCTCAGTGGAAACAAAGCTTTTATTTACTTTAATTTCACAGATAAGAAACAATAAATTGTGAAGACAATAAAGCCTCCACAAAAATAGCATTTTAAGTCTTGTGTATGATTTATCCTGGTTTCATATGAACAGAAGAAAGAACCGCTGATTGCTAGGCTAATTTATACAATGTAAAATGCCATAGGCTTGTGCTAATAATGTTAACATGTTGTATTTGTTTGGAAAACATGTTTAGTATAAGACAGTTGTTTTGTCAGTGAACCTTGTGAGATGTAATGGAGCTGAATTTTGTAACGTTACCTTTGTTAAATGTTGCTGTTGTCCCTGGCTGCATATGAGTAGAGAAAAAGTCTGCTAGCTGCTAGGCTAATTTATACAATGTAAAATGCCATAGGCTTGTGCTAATAATATTAGCATGTTGCATTTGTGGGGAAAATGTGTCCAGATAAAAACAAGTGTTTGTCTGTGAATGATGTGAGTTATAGAGAAGCTGATTTGTGTACTTGTGTTTGAAATTGTTGCAATTAAGCCATGTTTAATGTGTGTTTTGAATCAATTTAACTTAACAGCGCTTCACAGAAACCCAGACACCAACGAGTGTTTTGTAGGTGTAACTGCAGAGTGACACAGACACACGGCCGCACAAGTATTAATGCTCACAACGGCATAGGCTCTGCATAGCACTCAAGTATAAATCCCGCTTCAGTCAGCGGCAGCAACCACTTAATTGTCAGATGACAAAACAAACAACAATGTTGGCCTATGGGGCAAAAGCCAGGGGCGTAAATGTAGACACTGCATGCAGTCGCGATTGCATTGGGGTGCTGAGGGGGAGGGGCCCATATCTCCTCAGCACCCCAATGCAATCGCGGAATCGAGCAATCGAGCAGGCCCTTGCGTGTGACCATGGTGAGATGTGAATTGTCAGTATTTCACCACCAAACAGGAAGTGGTTTGTAACTGGCAAATGAACAAATAAATAGGCTGCTATTGTGACTATTGACCTGTTGCACACTTGGTACGCTCCTACTGGCACTTTAGTTTTTATTTGCGACAGTTTTATTTGCACTACCGTATTTTATTTGCTCTATTTATACTACAGGTCTTTTATTGCACTTTTTATGATTGCCTCCTGGGCTAGAGCAACCTTAAGGAGCTTTTATTCTTTTAGCCTTACCTGTTATGATAAAGTTGATGTATTTGTTTCATCCAGTAGTCCTAATTGCAATATTATGTTATTCAAATCTGCGCCATGCGCACTACATCGTGGTCTACAGTGTGTTTCTTGTTTGTATATGATGGTTGTAACTGCTATGCAGCTATGTCACACTATGTGCCCAATACAAATTTCCCGCTTGGGACAATAAAGTTTATCTTATCTTAACTCCAGCATATATGGTCCAATCTGGCCCATACTTAACATTTTATGAGGCTCCAGGCCTGACGCCATCTACATGCACATTAGGGGTCATGGTGATTGTGCCACCTAATGGCAACAGGAAGTAAGACTTGCAAGACAATTATCTTTTGATTTATCTGAAATTTACATGATGTGGTCTGCAACAGATTTACAGAGAATAAACATATAATTAGTGTTCTCCAGCACCACATAGTGGGCACAGAAAGTGGTACAAAATGATAAATACATCATTGAAGGATATACCATCTCACTCCTGCAGGCAGGGTCTGACTTTCACAGAAATGAACAGCAGCATCAGCTGGCGTCCTTCTAGCACACCCGAGTTGGGCAAAGGTGAGAGAGCCTGTTCATCGCTTTAATTGTTAAGTTGAAACTTTAAATTCATGAAATTCACTGATGCGTGTTTCTGAGGTTTACCACGCAAACAAAGAAACACATATTTCACCTCAGACTTGTACAATTTAAAACATCCGGAATCATTAAACCCACTCAGCACACACACCATGAGCAAGTATAGGAACAAATTTATTTCAATTTAAAACAGATACCTTGTCATTATGTTTCTCTCTTAGAAGGCGGCAATGATCATAAGTCATGTTCATGTTCGAATGAGGATCAGGCAACAGTGGTTGAAACAAATACATGAAACACATAAAAAAATATGGCAAGAGTTATGTAAATCAATAAATCGATAATAACCAACCGATTGAACCCCCCTTCGTCGAGGGCTCTGCTTCAATGAAAACATCAAAGCCCTCACTTCCAACACAAAATAAACAGCACATGCAATTATAATTACAGTTTCTTAAAAAACAGCAGATTATCTTTTAAATCTTCAATCTTAAATACAGAATAAAGTCTTTGTGTGTACTTAATCATCTATCCTTTTAGTCTCTGGTGTGTTTTTATTTAAAAAGGAGGGGGGGGACCATCTCAGGTGGTGGTCCTTTGATGATGACCACAGCGTTGGCACTTAGAGAGAGCCTGGCTCTAGAGAGAGTGGGGTTGGCACACTCAGTATAATACATAATTTACATTTGGTTTACATACAAAATAAAGAAAAAAAAACAGCATTTTATACACCACTACACAATTGACCTTCAGGTTTCATTGGAGTGAGGAAAAATAAATCAAGTGGTCCTAAATAATAGAATTCCGGTAATGTTTTTTTTTTTTTTTATCATACAGGAAATGAAAAACACAAATAAAAGGGAACAAGATTTAAGATTTGAATATGCACTGACTCCACACTGATGTCCAAAAGATAAGTTCGATTCCACTTATTTTAAAAAGCCCACAGGAAGGGAAATCACACAACCACCGCCGCCCAAAAAAGGTCAGAGTGTTCTCCGTAACCATAAAAGGACCGGCAACACCATCTTTCATTATTCAAGGCAATGAAAGGCAATAAATAAGAGTGTTGTAGTGAAAAACCGATCCAGTCTTTCCGCTGGTCGTCGCTCAAAAAAATGGACAAGAATGAGAGGATGAGATTTAAGCTTCATACAGACTTGCCTTCCCTCTCCTCCAGCTCCTATATGCTGAGATAAAATGTGTCAAAAACACACTGTGCAACACTGGGCCGCTAACGCACTAACAAACCCACACTAACAGCCAGTCAGCCCTTCACCATGTGCCAGAGTTGTAGTGTCAAGTTTAAAAATACAACATGGTTCGTCACCATTAAATAGAGCTGCACACAACACGCAGTAACACGACTACTGATAAATACTTGGGTATCCATACTGTTATATCGCTCCACTCCAATACTGGCATCCTCTTTATGACAGCAGTCTTAACGGTTGGCTGTCTGCTTCTTCTGCTCCAGGTTAGTGTCATTTTTCAGCAGACAAAATGGCAGTTAAGGACCACACTGGTGTTTTAATAAAGTATATATTTTAGCCCCATTAACTTTGTGTTTAAAGTTTTTGTCACTGTGTTCAGTATTTAAATTGATTCTCCATCGTTCTTAGCAGCCTTTGGTTTCTGTTCATCTGGGAAAAACAAAAACAACTCTGAGTGGAATGAAACTGGTTTTAAATTGGTGACAGTGAACATTTAGTCATCTTAGCGTTCTTAAAGTTACATGGGAATGCAGATAAGACCACAGACTGGTGGAAACTCATCTTAGTTTTACGATGCTGGATTGTTTAGTGCCAATATGGAGCCTTATTTAGCAATCGAGTATTAGGACAGAAACGATCCATATTAACTAGGTTTGTCAGAAAATGTTGTGTTTCTGTATCAGTTACATTCATTCACTTCTCATTCCACAAAGTTCGACACAGTGTGGTATTCAGTTTGTAAATTTTGGGGGTTAAAGGTCACACTAGTGTTGCATTAATACTCTGTTTGAGTATCTCTATCTACACGTATAGATGTTTCTGTAAATGTATAATTTCCTGTATGTTTTGGCCTCTCATCCACCACAAACACTCATTTAGGTTACTAAAATGGAGTTAGTTTTCAAAAACAACTTCTAAAGTTAAGATTTTCCAAACTTCTGGGTACTTTGTATCCATGACGACATGTAAAACAGTGTGTTTGGGAGACCATGACAATTTGCACATGCCTGTTGTTTCTTTGTGCACCAGAAACGACAACGAACTACCGTTTTGTTCGGACTGCTTGGTCTAATGACACTTAAACTTAGTGTCCATGGAATACGGGAGGCGGAGTCTGCTGCGCCCAATGTTATTCGCTCCACCACAGCGTGCGTGGTTCAAAGTCGGCCAGAAACGGTGGTTTTGGATTACACAGTCGAACCAGGAGATGGTGAGACGAATTCGAGAGTAGGATTGTTGCCGATGAAACTTGCATGTCCAAAACATCATGTGTCTTAGCATGAGTTCCTTCATCCTTATATTTAAGGGGAATTAACAGAGACGCTAATGAAAAGCTAACGTTAGCCTGTACACTTAGCTACTTGTGTGTGACGAGAGGAGACCGAAGATGGCCAATGTGAGCGAGCATTTAGGGTCGTTTTTGCGTTCCAGCGTGGACTGAGATATTTTGTAAAAGGAAGTCGTGTGGACAGATATTTTTAATGAGGGGGAAAATATCCGCTTTAAAAAATATCTGTATACGTGTAAATGGGGCCTTGGTTGGTCAGAGCATCTTCAACTACAAGTCAACTGTGGTTTAGATTCTTTCTCAGGATCAAGTTTTGAGTCTGCAGGGTACTTTATAAACCTTACACATGAACGGAAACCAATAGCTGCACAAGTAGGAAATCAATTTGAAGAAATTCAGCACTTTAGTATTATATTTGTAGTTAATGGGTTAAAACATGCAAAGCCACAAGCATAGTCATTAAGTCAAAATACTTGGGGGAAGCATGCAATACTTGTCCTGGTAGTAGTGTCTTTAGTGATTGGAGTTTCTCTACTGCACAAGGTATTACAGGTAACACTGTGATACCACACAAATAGTGAAGGTCAGAGAGCTGGATACTGGGTCCACTTAATTCACCAAAGGGCCAGATACATAACGAAACACAAAGAAAACTGTTTAGTGTCGGTAAACTTTCTACACACACACCTTATGTTTGCATTAACACCCTGCCTATACTTCTTATAACACGTACTGCGAGTAATCTCCATTTAGAAACAAGGATTAGTAGTGGATGACTTGGTTCACTGTGGTCCTGTACTTCACTCCCCGCTGTCTGATGCCTGATGCACTGTGATAGCCCTTAATGACGATGAAGGATAAGTCACCTGTAGAAAAGGTCAAAGACCAAAAAAGTATATCTGCACTTCACTGGCACTATCAAAGCAAGCCTCAAAAAACCAGAAATTAACAATGCAAAAAAACGACAACAGAATTTTTGTGTTAAATTACAAACAGCAAGCATGGACCGCGTGGGTCTTCAATCACTGATAAAAAAAGTTCCACCTACGTTCGTACTGTACATTTTTCTAGGTATGCGTTACAGCGCTGCGTCTATAAACCGAGAGGAAATACAAGTTTCTTTTTTTTTCTCTTTTTAAAAATCAAACAAAACAGATGTGAGGGCTCCTAAAGAAAACCAAACAGTATTATCATGGATGGAGATGTGATGGCGAAGTACAACTGGAAATGTCTCAATAAGAAATAGAAAGCAGAGATAAAGTCCTTACTATACCAGACATTCGTTTTTTTTTTTGTTTTGTTTTGTTATTTTTTTTTTGTTGTTGTTTTTTTACAGCAGTTCAGACTCAAGTAGGCTCCGCCATGAGAAAAGGAGCACTTCAACATGACAGAATCAAAAGCAGTCAAATTATCAACACCTTCAAACCTGGTCCATAAATTAGATAAATAAAAAAAATCTTTAATTACTCTTAAAATCATCTCGTCATCGTACTGGGAAGATTTTTACCAGCCCTAGTTAGTATACTCCGGAGCCAGAGCTGTAGCAGTAGTGTGGAGTCGTGAGGCTGGTTGGGAGGAGCCTCTTTTCTCTGACTATTGCTCCTTGCCGATCGTTTCCTCGACGACACTCAGCTCTGTGTAGTCCTATTAATCAAGTGAACAAAATCCATAATCACAGTATCACTACTACCATAAATTCATAGGAAAAATTGTATGCTAATGAAAGAAGTTGATACTTTTTTTTGTTTTTTTCTTGTTTGTTTTTTGCCAAAGATGGTGTACCACAGAGCGTTTTTGTACAGGAGTGTTTTGTGTATATGTATTTACAAACGAATATACACAAACGACGTTTGCAGACTTTAGAGTGCGTTTTCTGTGAAAGGTTCATAGCCCCCCCTCCCCTCCCCTTCCTCTCACCACTCGACAGCGAGCAATCTTTATATAAACAAAGTGACTATACAGTAAAAAAAAGGAAAAACAAAAAAGTAAACAGAAGCACATCCTGGTGTGATGACTGTGTCACCGTCAGGAGGTGTGTCTGATTGGACGGCTGAGTGACGCAGGTGTGACGTCATCGGAGATGTTACCAAATGGATTCCATTCACACTCCCGGGGGATGCGGGCGTGTTTCATTTACAGCTTTTATTTTGTTGAATAAGCTACTCGCAGCCCCGAGCTGCAGGTGTGCTCTGTGGGCTGATGACATCACGCTCCCCTCCGCGCCTGCGTCGAAAGCAGGGTCCTGTCACCCGCTACTAGTGTTGTGTAATAAGGGTGTGGGGTGTGTGTCAGTGGGGGGGATGGGGGGGGGGGTTCACATGGAAGATTGTCCCTGTGAATCCATACAGAAAACATCTGGAGGAGGGAAGCGATGTGATTAACTTAAACATAAAAAACAAATCCCACAGAAATCTTTAAAGGATACTTACGTCAAGTAAATTTCTCGTTGCTTCTTTTTTTAGATGTCTTTTGTTTTGCAAAAGTTTTCTTACGACTTCTTATCACCATTCCATTTAGCCATTATTCGTTAAATAGAAGTAGACGTAGCAACAAATTTCTATCATTAAAAACATTTAAAAAATCTCAGCAATGAACAGATTTGATTAGCTATGTCTTGCCCTCTCGTGCTTTTTGTCTTAAGTGTGTTTACATATGCATTTACTTCATAATATATATTTCTATTTTTTTTCTTCTTTTTTTTTTTTGCAATTGCGATGCTCACACTGGTGGGTACATTCATAGATGCAAGGTGGAGATAGAATCCTCGGCCCCGTCCCCCTTGTGTCCGGTGTGCGACCTCACTTCCTGTCCAAGCCGCTCTGTCCCGAGCAGCACGATGCCGCTCGCTGGTTCTTCCTTCCTTCCACACCCACAGGAGCTCAGCAAGGACACGACGGAGGCTCTGATCTCACACCGCTGAGGGTTAACTCCAGAGGGCCAAAGGGGTGCGATGCCGCTATTCACCAAAACACAGCTCCTTGCTAGTCAATGCTGCCCCAAATACACGCACACGCACACGCACACACACACACGTACCACACACACACAAACACCAAAGTCCCCTTCAGTCACTGTACAGCCCGTGTGAAAGGTTTGTGTGCCAGATGAAGTGTGCCAGAGCCAACAGCCGGGGCCAAAACTGACACACGCAGCAGCTTCGGGGAGGAGCGAGGGACTCTGACACAACAAGCTGCCGAGCAACGGAGGAAGAGGGCGAGCTTTGGTGAAAGAGGAGGGGCGGCGTTTGCAGGTGGGAGGATTTGTGAATGTGTTGTACTGGAGGAAAAAAAAGGAAGGGTTCTGTTGGTGTGTGTGTCTGTCTGTCTGTGTCTGTGTGCCGGCATGGTGTGCTGTGTGATGCATGTGAACTTGAGCGCACACTCCCATAGAGGTGTGCATTTGTGCAATGGGGTGGGGGTGGGGGTGGGGGCGGGGGAGATGTGCGTCGTATGTGGGCCCTCACACCAGATTGTACTCTTTGAGATTGAGCTGTAGGATGGTGTCTTTGACAGCTGCAAACACAAAGCGGATGTTCTCAGTGTCCGTGGCACAAGTAAAGTGAGAGTAGATGATCTTGTCGCTGTCTGGGTTTAAGTCCACAAACATCTTGAGGATAAACTCCCGCGCCGCCTGTGCATCTCTCTGGGGACCTGAGAAACACAGACAGACACATGCAAACGTTGATTAAATTTCTATACAAACTGACCATAAAAACTGTCATTTAAAAAGCAGTGGACCAGCAATTTAAGAAATGTGCTTATTCACGATTGATACGACTTTCATCTCTGTGCATTCAGCATGGAGCTTTATGTTGTAGAGGTTTAGCTTAGCTTAGCTTGGGGGGGGGGGGGGGGGGGGGGGGGGGAGACACATTGTATCCCATTTGTTTAATACACACATAAACATACATGTAAAAATATCAAGTGTTTTGGGGGGAATTATGTGCTGTAACGTATCTGTTAATAAGCCAGTAACACAGTGCTTGTACATAGGGCTGGGCGATATGGTTTATAGATAATATTTTTTCTGTTTTTAGGTTATGCCATGATACAGAATCTATAATTACATAACTGTTTTATTAAACCTTTTGATGTATGTATATGATCGTTCTAGTAACCTAATCTGAATTTCGAGGGGACACAGCTCGTATGTGACATTTTAGAGGCCTTTAATTGTTAAATTCCACATCAGTATGTCCTGATATTGACTGAGTAACACTCTGAGGTCAGACTGGTCTTTGGAAATGTATTCTTCAGTATTAAATTGGACTACTTATTCACACAACTGAAACTGAAATAGCCCCTTTTACACTGCCTCTTGAGGGCGGGAATTTCATGCCATTATTCCACCTCCCCGTTCTGTATGAAGGGTACAACAGCGATATGTGGGGACAGAGCGGTCTCGCCTTTAAGCTGGAGTTGGAGGTAGGAACAGCGCTGAAACAATGTCTGTGTCAATGGGACAGCCAGCAGGACGGGAACATGGGCAGCTGACGTTTTGACAGCATGTTATATGTGCATCCCACCACGGAGATTAAAAAAGTAACAAGTAGAGGTTAGCAGCTAACTCAAAGAACAGCTGGAACTGCCCGCAAATTGAGAAAACTATGAGGTCTGGGACCTTCTTACACTCCAAGCAGAGGATGAGATCAGCCACCATATAACAGGGATGGTAAATGATTTGTTTTTGCCATGTTAATGCCATTGTTATGGTTTAGAAAGTGCTGCCAATGCATATGATATACGTCGCTAGAGGCTGACGCTTGTGTTACATTTCACACCCATCATGCCTATTTTGTTTCTGCAATGTCGGCATGCTGTCTAAAATCACACACTGGAGCTGAATGATGCCGCCATCATTGAGTTCTGTGTAAAAATGGAAAGGAAGCAGCATAAAGAAGGGACTGCGTAGCGGCCCTATAGCGCAATCTGTGTATAAAATGGGCAATTATTCTCTGAAATACAGTTTGCAAGTGGTAATTATTATGTTTTCCTTATCAATTCATTTATTTATGTATTCATTATTAACAGACTGACTTACTGAATGAATGTGAAACTGCCCATCACGTTCACCAGAAGGATGCTTTTATTTTGAAGTCAGTTCTTACACGCTCTTACCGTAATGCCTAGTATATACATGCACCACAAAACAAAATGGGGGCTTGTTTGATCGCCCTCTTTCCGAATGCTTGACTGCAGTGTTCTGCACTGGGTGGTGTTTATGTGATGGAACAGATTTGTGGTTCTGCTACCTTCAGCAGCAATCGTTTTGAGGCATATTTTGCAGAGGACAGTCTGTTCCACATCTGCTCTCCTGAATTTAAACCACCTCCAGATGATAAACAAGCACCAGGATCTTCCGCCAATGTGAATTAACGTGAACTCAATGACTGACGTTAAACTGGTGAGCGCGGTTGATCGGTTTGGGGATCATTATCAGCCTTTTAGTGCACAAATTGAAGGAGCTGATGGGAATACGTTTCACTGGAATTATGTCTCCATTATTCTATGTAGCAAATAAACTGATTGCACATAAACACTGCCTGCTTTTAAAACAGAAATTAATGACTAAAATGTACAAGGAATATCTTGATTTGACATCATCTGCAATATCGCACATAAAATGACATTTGAGTAAATCGGATAAATTCGATACACTGCCCAACTTTAAATGTACATACATGTAGAATGAAACCTGTGCTCACTGACCACAGACAGCCACCCATCCCACACTAAAGCTTGTTGGTTTCACAGAAGCAGTGGATGGATAGATAAATTTTGTATTTCAAAAAATAGAAACTACAACAAACTGACATTTTTAAAACACTTTTATGAAATAAATAAAGATATAACTTGTCAAATTACTGAGCTTTACAGGTGCTGGTAGGTTGAGTTTTTAGTTGTTTCCCTCTGCTTCTAGTTATCATGCTAAGCTCTGTACTTAAATCACTCTGCGTTCCTACTACACTAAATATAACACAGCATTTGTTATGCGCAGACAAAAAAGTTGCGAGACAGATCCGATAATCAACAGGCAGTTAAATGTGGTCATGTCGCCGTTACAATGACTGTGGTCATAATCACTTTCAGACTAGTATTTTAAAACTGAATAACAGCCACATAAGCTATATTCATTTATCTGAGGGGGCGACTTCCGACTGTACATTGCCGGATTAGTCAGCACACAAACACCAACGTATAGATGATCTCACCGTCAAACTCTGGGAAATAGTCCACCAAGTGTGAGTAGGAGATCTTCTCCTCTAGCAGGTCCTTCTTGTTGAGGAAGAGGATGACGGAGGAGTTTTGAAACCAGGGGTAGGTAATGATAGTCCTGAACAGAGCTTTACTCTCCTCCATGCGGTTCTGGTGCAGAGAGGAAGTGAGCGGTGAGAAGAGGCATGCTCTCCAAGCAACATTCAGAGTGTACTGAAAGTTTAAGGTATTTTTAAGTCCACCTACCTCGTTGTCGGACTCCACCAGGACCTGGTCGTACTCGCTCAGCGCCACGAGGAACATAATGGAGGTGACGTTCTCAAAGCAGTGAATCCACTTCCTCCTCTCTGACCTCTGACCTCCTACATCCACCATCCTGACAGCAGGATGAAGGTGAGGAGTATGATAATAAGTGAAGAATCAAGAAGGGGAGAAACATATTAGCGTGTATCTCTTGGTGGCCTGGTTCATGTTCAGTGAGGACAAATTCTTAATATTAACTAAGTAACAAATGGCTTTACAGACGGTACTTTGATTTGTTTTATGAAAAGGCTTTGAATCCATCAAGGTAATTAGATTACAAATGTGTGTATATGGCAGAAGAACTTAATAATAGAGGAGCAGAATGTTTCAGGTCCAGCAGTCCTACAGACGTTCTCTGGTGTATGTCTTAAACATTTTCAGTACATGACCCAAATAAAGATATAGTCACACCCTGGGACCCACGAAAGCATATTTTTACTATCATTTATTTTGGGTCCTGATCATTTGTCTGCAGTCCCATTAACTTCCTTTCAAGCAAACTTGTTTGAGGGGAAAAAGAAAAAAAACACCTGATGGATTCAACACCTTTAAGAAGAGGATGAATCAAATTCACAAGTTCTCGGCCATGTGTTTCAAAAGAGCAAACGTGCAGATCTCTATATTTGGCAAGAAACTGCACAACTAAACAAGAAACAAATGTGCAGTGTGAATATGTTTTTGTCCTTTGTAAATAGGTGAGTCATGCATGCCACCACAAAGATGAAAGCTTCCCACTTGAGACAGATCTAGGATCAGTTTTGAAACCAAAGCCACTCAGTTTAGGAAATAGTTGTTTTCTTTGTTTGTGCACAGAAGCAGCCCTAGTGCAAGACCAGAAATTACAAAAGTACTTGTAATAATTATTTGGATCTTTCCCACACATAATGAAGTTTGTTTTTATAGCAACATGGATATTTTCTGTAGAAGTTTACAGACCGCGCCCTCCTCGTGCCTCCTATCTCAGAACACGACATATCAATTATTCTCAAACAATATGCAAAATGAATTAAGGTACGTGTCCACAGGGGCGTTTTGGGGCGTAAGTGATTTCACCGCCCTCCAGCATTAGACACTCGATGGGTGTGCAACTAGGCGCTGTGGGCTGCCTGCTTCTCTTACATTACGATAATGTTTAGCAAAAAATGTATTTCTGACAACATTTGAGGCAAGAAATTAGTCATGCAGTTGCTGAATCAGTCTTCATTTTAGATCACCAGGCCCCCCTCGGAGCCAGACCTGGGGCCTTGGGCCATGGGGCCCAGTTGAGCTCAGCATGAAAAAAAAAAAAAAAAGGAGCCACTGCCTGTACAACTGGTTGGGCGTGCTGATCCCTTGTCTTGCGGACTGGCTCTAGGGACGTGGAATGTCACCTCTCTAGTGGGGAAGGAGCTGGAGCTGGTGTGGGAGGTAGAGTGGTACCAACTAGATAAAGCTAGGCTCACCTTCACGCTCAGCACTTGTTCTGGAACCAAACTCCTGGAGAGAGGCTGGACTCTAGAGATGTACTGATACCACTTTTGCCTTCCTGATACCGATTCCGATCCCTGAACCTTAGGTATCAGCCGATACCGAGTACCAATCCAATACCAGCGCGTAAAATAAAAATGGATGGGATATGAATTGTTGTATGTCTCAACTCCTAAAACTCTATGTAAAATATCAAGAAATAAATACATAATAGTAGAATGAATGCCATAAAAACTTTATTATTATTATTATTAGCATCATTATTATTATTATTATCCAGTGTTGACACAGATTAAGACACAGGTTAAAGTGCAGCCACACAATTTGGTAAAAAAGACATTTTAAAGGCTACAGTAGAATGCTTTTTAAACTCTGCTCTGTTTCCGTTTTGTTTGCCTGTAGCGTGCGTGTGCATAATGACGTGAGGCATTGCGTGGTATCGGACTGGTCACAGGCTGTACTCATGATAACCGATGCCGCATTTTAGGCAGTATCGGAGGCATTTCCGATACTGGTATTGGTATCGGTACAACTCTACTAGACTCTTGCTTTTTCCGGAGTTGCCCAGGTTGAGAGGCAGCAGGCAGGTGTGGGGATACTCAAGAGCCCCTGACTGAGTGCCACTATGTTGGGGTTTGCCCGGAGAACGAGAGGGACTAACAGTTAGTTCAAATTATTCTGGGGAGTTTCCAGATGGAGCAAGTCTTCCTGGGCGCCCCTGATTCGCTTAAAGTGGCCTTTACCTCAACCTTATGCAAATGAGGAGCAGCCAATGTGATGCTCCATTTCTCAAAGTGTAACGTGGCACTACCAAAATGCAATTAATGGGAAGTGTGGAAATTATGGATCCTGTGGACACGCATCATCACAAGTGTGGCTCGACTTTGGGTTTTATAGCGAAAACAGAAGCTGTGGAAAAAATCTTTAACCTGCTGAGCAGCACTGTAATACACCATAAGCTATGCAGCAGATCGTCTGTCAGGTTGTGCATCCAACCTCAGTAAGAAATATATTACTGGAATTCTTAAACTGAGTGGCATTCATGTGGTCATACATTACACCTCATACTAGATCAGTCTGTTCTTCTTTGTATGTGCTACGGTGAAAGTGGAGGGTCACTACGCATCTATTTCTCTACTAGACAGCTTTCTCAACCTTCCCCGGTGTGTGTGATAAAGCACCACACAAAAACAATTTGTGAAGTTCTGAGACGTACTTGGGAGAAGACAAATGGGGGAAACAGGAGGAACATAAAGTGAGACTGAGAGGGGCACAGGAACGAAAGATAGAGGACAGACAGAGGACAGGAGGCAGAGTTAAAACGTTGATGAAAGATACAGGGGGCACCTCTGGTAGTGGGATCCTTTTCATAGTAGAAGGACGCCACCTGTGTAACCGTATGAGAAGCTACAAGCTGAGAAAACTGTATCAGAAGAAGAATTATATATATTTCCTAAGAGGTGATCTAGTAAAACTAACTAAGCAACAAAACTGGCTTAAAAACTTTGCCTTCAGCACATGAGCCCGCAGGCTGGCATTCCCTGAAGCCATTCATGAACAGCAATCCTGGCTGGAACACTGACTGACAGATGTGTGAATCCTCACAGGGATTCAGGTTCCCTGAGCTTCTCTTTGACAAGGTCACCCTTCACTCGTCAGGGAGTTTTGGTCCCAGTTTCATTAAGCCTTCATTTGTGACAACCGATTCAGTAAAAATCTTTCCGGTCAAGAACCTTTCATGTCAAGCCATTATATGAAAAGGGCATGGGAACAGTTTCAGCCTGACTTCCTGTACTTTCCTGCACCTCTGGACGCACAGGTGCAAGCCTCAAGACCAGGTGCAACACGGTCTCCGAAAGAGCTGCACAAATCTAATAGAATTCACGATGCAAGGGTGCCCCCTGGTGGTGGCCCAGTCCACTGTGGTCCACAGAGACCCAGGGCCAATATAGGCCCTGCAGGACCTGCTGCCCAAAATAACATTCCTCCACCGCGGAGAGGACGACCTCGTTTCTTCTGCCAGCCGGAGAGGAAAGGAGGAGAGGAGGAGGAAGAGAGGAGGTGACCCATTTACAGAGACCGGGCACCAGAATGTAGGACTTTGTGTTCATCGGGGGGTTGTGTTATGTGTGGTACGGTTGCTGTTGGTGGCAGGAGGTAAAAGAAAGTGTATAAGGAGACTGTAAAATGTTAATGACTTTAATTTCTAGGGAAGGGTTAAGGAGTCAGAGTGCCATATAGTCACTTAAGTCAAATGCATAAAATCAAAGTCACGGGTCACAAGGTCTTTTCATTACTGGGTAGGACAAAAGTTATTTGGCGCTTTGGACAACAACACATCAGATGACGCATGGGTTAATGATGAACAAGAAGGGACGGAGCCAAAACAGGCGTCTGTCTACCTGAAAATGATGCTTTGCAAGTCGAATGGGTACTCTATGATTCCTGTAGTGGGAATGCGCACCCTGAGCACATCCTGCTGAGTGGGAAGATAGTTGGAATCTGCAATACGATCCAGATCGGAAAGATAACTACAGGCAGGCCAGTCGAGGAAAAAAGGAGAGATAAAGAGAAAAGAGAGACAGAAAAACAGTTATATAAAGCGTGACAGGCAATTACCGCAACCCCCCTGCCATTCCAGGAAGTGAGGATCAATCCTGTTGAGGAAGCTTCACAGAAAAAGGCCACATCTCGGAAACAAAAGGGTGTTAGTCAGTGTCACTGCTCCACCAACACTCTCTGTCCAAACACAAGACTTTTGGGATTAGCTGTTGACTTTGAGTTTACTTTTTAAATTGACAATTTTTAATGAAGTTGTGGATTATGTTGCAGACAGCGAGGTGGCATCAGTGACAGTAATAGCAGTGACTTTAGCAACAGAGACAGCAGCACCTGGATTAGACAAGGAAGGACAAGTATGATATCAAGGATAGCAGGAAGCGTATTCCATGCTCCCCCCCCCCCCCCCAAAAAGGCGTGTAGGTCACCCATTTCAATTTGAAATTAAATTTTAAAACTGAGTCCAATTGCTTCACTGATTTCAAACAACTTCCTGGAAAATCCTTGACATCACTAATCCTTCTTCATCCGGCACTTACTGCCTTCTCCCCCCCGCCCCCACACACACACACACACTACAGTGCAGCATATCTGGCCTTAGTTTTGACCCCGGAGCCAGATCATCCGCACAGTTCTTAACACAAACCACTGATAACTCATAAGGTTATCTAATGTGGCCTTCAGGCTCATTTGATCTCAACACAACATAATCTTTATTTGTCTTCACTTTGAGCTGCGGGGTCTGTTGAGACAAATGGGCTCCTGCCTGGTGCCATAGCAATATGAGGGCAGTTGCAAGTGTGTAACTGCGCTGTAATCGCACTGATAAGCTACTGAGGCGGTTACACAAAGAATTAGGGCTGGGTATCATTCAAAAAATTACAATACCAGTATCATTATTGGTCACCAACGGTGTACTTACTTCATTTCACCCCCATCGTATGAATGGATGCGTTCAGTGGCGTGAAATGCCAGACGCCACAGGTGTGTAGTGTCTGGGGGCATTTTAGTGTCGTGTTGAAAGTTTTGGTGACATTTTGGCACGCTGGACTGCCAACTCAGTCAAATACACTGTGCTCGACTTCACTACACCACAGTGTATGAGCTGTAGCTGCTGCTGTAGTGGGTCAATCACATGTCCATTGAATCAAAGAACGCTTGGGAGGATTGACTGTGAGTAAACCCATTCATATAGCCTGTTTTTTAAGATCTGGGTGCAAAAAGGATTGCCGTAAAACTTCAATTAAAAGCCTAGTCCCAATTAAATGCCCAATCCCTTTTACTAGCCTGGTGTGGCTACACATTTTGACAAATAAATGCCTGTCTTGGTTAGACGCCTAGTCTGGTTGCCAAGCAGTTCTTTTTTTTTTTTTTTAATAGAAGTTCTTTGGATGTTAGGTGCTTCGCTCACGCATTAGACGTTCGTCAATATGGACATGCTACATACAGTTAGCTCCGATAGATTCTCCACAATTCAATCGTCAAGTTCATTTTACCGAAACTACAGTATGAGCACCAAAGGAGACAGTAATTTATTGAGATGCACTGTACTAACCCAAATAATAGCCCGGGCTATTAATTGAAGTATTAAGGTAAATGTGGGTATCATTGACTGGAGAAGTTCTGATACTACTTGGTACTGGGTTATTTCAGTTGATTCTTTACAGGGTACTGAGTACTGATACCCAGCCCTAAAAATAATAAGGTCATTTTTTAATTTTTTTGGCTGTTTATAAGAGACTACAATTTACAAACACAGCTCCTGTGTAACTGTTGTGTTAACATCAGTCATCAGTGGTCTCTGTCCTCTAGTCTTGGTGATGCTGCAGTCCCGGTGCCATGAGGGTACCTGAAGATGACGTTCTCCAGGTCAAACGGGTACTCTATTATACCCGTGGTGGGAACACGGACCCTCAGCACATCCTGCTGGGTGGGAACGTATCCCTCCGCAGTCACACGGTCTATATCACTAAGGTAACTGGAGATATACATGAACAGTGTGGATGACACTAATATAAAAGACATATCCAGTTATATTCTTATCTTTCTCACTCACTCACTCATACGCATGCACAAAAATCAAATACATGACTTAGATATTTACCATAACATATTTGCAACACAGCAAGCACACCTGCATGCTGGCTTGGAGCTGCATTAAATTGTAGTACAGCAAGTCCACAACCAGGGGGCACTAGAAAATGAGTCAAGTGCCTTTGGCTATTTAGCCTGGGGTCACATATTATTACAAAGTAACTGTGGCAAAACATAAATAGATAAATAAATAAATAAATCACAGCAACGCAAAATGAAGCCGACACTCTACTTTTTAAACCATGCTGAAGTGACATGCAGCACTCCGGCTTCAAAGTCACTGCTCTGCTCTCCAACAGCTGGTTGAGACAGCATGAATTCTGGGCCTCTCCACTCAGACCCCCTCGATTGTAAGGAACCCCCCATGACACATTAAACCGCTTCCAAATTAACAATTATAATATACTGTAGATAAACATCCACAGCAGTCAGCAGCCGACAATTAAAAGACAAATACTGGCTCTTGTACCTGTGGCTTGTAGATTTTTCATAGGAATTGTTAAATCGTGGAATAAGGCTGCTGAATGTTGAAATTTGACAGCTAAAACCACGTGTGGGCAAAAGGCTATTTGCTGCCCTGCCCAGGATACATTTCAAAACTCACGTGGTAATTATACACACAGAAGATCCGCACACAAGCTGTCACTAACAACACATCCAAACACACCCTAGTTACTTTGAAAACTGTCGAGCTGATCTCTGGAGACAACCATCTCCATGCCACACCTTCAATTAAAGGGCAAATACTATGTATATATTTATCATTTAGGGGTGACCCTGAAAAGTTGACTATTCGACAAGCCTGATTCAGAGCAAATCTCACACTCAAATTGTTGCAGTGGTGGGAAAATGAGGTTATGAAGCTAAGGATCACTCTATTCAGGTTTTACGGGGGTGCTGACTGTCTGATTTTAGATACAACTGCTTTGTTTCTACCAATAACGCACACTTTATACGCTAAATATCAACAACATAAGGCTATTGTTGAACATCTTGTGACAAAAAGACAATTTAACTATCATCTGCATGCATGCACAACTTGTCACGTTAATTTAAGCACAGGCACACCTACATCATTCAAATCCTGGATGCTGATGTGGTTACCACAAACAAACACTCAAAGCTTTTCGACATAATCCGTCAGTGTACAAAGTTCAACAAGACACACACACTGTTTAACAGGTTTGGGAACTTAGACATTGTTCTTTGTTATCAGGCATCAATTAATTCTATTTACTGTTGTAACTTTGGATTTGCGAAAGGATTCTGATAAAATCATATCAAATTCAGAATTTCTGTACAAAAAGCTCCCACTAATATCTACAAAAATAAAAGAGTAATCCAGGATCTTAAAGAATCAATAGTTACATTAACACTGATAAATCTGTATCACTTCCCAAACCAGAATGGCACACAAACACTCACAAAAATTACATAACTCACTCACACATTGTGTCACAGTCAAACAAATACCATTCTTAAATCCCAGACAGACGACACACCTGATGTCCACACACACAGAGACATAAACACACGCAGACAGAAAGACAGACAGACGTACTATTTAGTGGAGTCAGAGAGCTGGTACTCTCTGCGGCGGTCGTAGGCCTCCTGGATCCCAGGGTCGGCCCACAGGCTTTTGATAGCTGCAATGTAAGGGTAGTCGAACCCGTTGATCTTCTCGATGTCCACCTCCTTCACGAGCATTGCGTTAGACTGGAAAAACACAGGCAAGGGAGAAGAAAGGTTAGATTGAGATGAAGAATGATGAATGGGGAGGAGCAGTGAGAGACGACAGGGTGAACCGAACTAGAAAGTGCAAAAATAGCAACCAGATTTATCAAGTTTTTATTCCAAGATATTTGAAATCTCTGAAGGTAACTGTTTGGATCTTAACCACCCACATATTCTGATTCTTCCAAAGATAATGTTTCTGTAGGACAGACTCTTGTGCACCTGAAGATTTTTCCAAGGAAAGACACAGAGATGTTGCCATTAAGGACACTTTCACACCTGCCCTGTTTGGTTCGGTTCAATCGAACTCAAGTTGGTTTGTGTCACATGACACATTGTTTGGGTTAAACATGAGCATGTTACAGTCCTGGAGGATTATTAATGTGCACCTCCTCCTGTACTGCCTTAATATTCACATTCAGCACATCCAATGCATCAAAACATTCTTTTCTAGTTGGAGCCGCGCCTCGTTTTCAAACTGTATGGTTTGACTAAAATGAACAATGACAGCAATATAGTCCACGATGAGCAGCGCTAAAATCAACCTGCGTAGTTGTCCCTCCATTGTGACATTAGAGTGTCACATTTTTCTTGCAAGTGTACTCTTCTTCAACGTTTTGTTTACTTCCTGGATTTTTCCCACATGGAAATTCTGACTAATCAAGAGCAGAATTCTCTCACAAGGCATTTGATCTGGTCCGCTTGTAAATGCTGCCGTGAGAACATGAACCAACTCTAGACAATTATGAAACTTTGTAGAGTTGACAGGAAGTAAACAGACATGCAGTATGTTAAATGGATATACTCACACAGCATAAAAAAAAGAGAATAACTGACATATATGTACATAAAAATGATCCCCACATGATAGACAATGGACAAAGGTAATACGGTGCTTCCTTGTGTTTCCCCATTATAAATTGCCTTAGATGTTATTGTGAACTGTTTTTACCCTACAGAAGTATTCCAGGTTTTCATAACTACAACCTTATATGTGGAACATAAATTGGACTTTTTACCCTAAAATTCAGAATGGTATTATCATTATTATTATATTATTACAACGTAATTTTACATGCAACATTTTGTGGTTTTGTGTGTGTTTTGGACTAATAGATTACAAACAACATGTGCTCTGCTCCTCTTACTTGGAATAACTTTCAAAAAGGGTTCAAACTATGGAACTGGTCTCTCTGCCTGACTTTAAAGCTCCCATAAGTACAAGGATGAATGAATCAGTTAGGTCTTGTCATTGTGCGCAAGTGTTCCAATATTTCTATAAGTCACTGTATATCTTTTATATTTTTTATTGTGTTGCTGTTTGGCTGTAACTTTTTTGTGTGCTGCTGTCTTGGCCAGGTCTCCCTTGTAAAAGAGATTGTGGATCTCAACAGGACGTACCTGGTTAAATATGGGTTAAATAAAATAATATAAAATAGTGGAAAGCATCCTATGATTTTCTCTTGGAACATGACATCCGTTTGCTCTTTTTCATTCATAATGTAGACCAGTAATTCTCAGTACTGGTCTTTGTGAGGGAGCGCACTGGTGGATTTCTGTCCTACTGAGTTGCGGACTACATTCACCTTGCATCCCAGGTGTAAATCAGTCCTCAATTAGAGGTTGACAATAAAAGAGCAGCAGAGCTCTGAGGACTGGAACTGAGAACTACTGTAGCACACAATAATAGACTATAATTATGTGGTCGTATTGTGCCCACACCATCGGTAACTTTCAGTCATTTCTAATGTATTAAAAGCATGCCTAGGTACAAATACTCAAATATATCTGTAAACTGAAAGAGTTTGGTTGTGGCTTGTGTCCTGAGGCTTGATTAAAATATTGCCTATTTTTTATTGTGCATAGAGCCTTTGGTGTTTCACAAAATTTATCATCACCATGGCACACAATATGAACCTCTGGGAAGGGAACTCTGGACATTTCTGTGGGTGAGTCCTTACCCGATTCTGCTCAAATTTGTAGGGGATCTTAAGGGTCTCAGTGGCGCGGATCATGGCCTGCATGGACGTGAAGATGTTTTGGTAAACAAGCCGGATGAAGCCTCTCTTGTCTTCGTCTGAGTACCCGGCTCCATGGATGATCCTCATCTGCTTGATGAAGGTGCTCTTGCCACTTTCTCCCGTACCTGAACAGGACAAGGGAGACACACAGTTAGAGACGGAGCGCAGCAAACTGACAGTGTGGGCACAGTGAAGTGAGACGGCATAGCAGAGGCCCGCCTGTTATCACATCCAGAAACTGAGTCAGACAAAACCACCAAGAAACAGGAGACAAAAGGGTGTAATGTTGCATGTAAGCATCTGAAACCATTCCGTGAAGATGGGCAGTCTTGTTTCTGGCGAATAAACAATACACACGACACACAGTACAGCAACGCTACATTAATTCATCAAGGACACCAAGAGAATGGGAGGAGAGTAAGAGAAAGGTGTGGTAAGAGACCTAATGCTCCATAAAATGAAACTGAGTTCAGGCAAAACAGCCTAAGATAAATGACGTTCTTCATAAAACCACAGAATCAAGTCCCAGGCCACTTTCCACTTTTACCAATGCAGCCAGTGTTAGTTAAAATGTTTTCTTGAGGAGGTGAAGCTTAAATGAAAAACAATTCAAATCAACATTTGGTACTGACATTAAACTGAAAATAGGCAAGTTTTTTGCTTTAACTTATCAATACTAAGTAAATGACTGCACAATGTAATGCCTATACAAAAATGACACCATCTGCGTTTGGACTGGTTCCCTAAAGGCCTTGCTTCCACTATATAATCTGTCTGCCACTACGTATGATCTAGAGTGTGCCATATCATTTCGTTCACAGTAATACCGGTATAATTTTTAATATGACATGAAAAATTAATACCATGATACTCTGGATATTTTGACTTGATGACACTATTGTCATACTGTTAAACTGTGGCGTCCTGAATGTTTTATGAACAGCCCCAGACTTCTCAGACACTTTTAGTGAGTTACCGCTCAGAGGGAACTCATTCAGCGGCTCCTCTGGCAGCAGCACAGCGTCTCTCCCTCTCCTCTCTCGCTGTGCGCACACAGGAGTCGGTGTCGCCAAGTGATTCCATCATAAACCTTTGGTAATGTAAACCTACGTGACGCTCGCAGCTCGACAAAAAACTACATATATGTGAATGTGCGATAGTTGTGGTATCATAACAGCCTGTCACAGGTTACAGCTTGATGATTAGAGGAGAAATGGCAGAGCATAAAGGTCCAGGTGGAAAAACAAACGAACAGGAAATCACCTGCTGATTTATATATACATACAGTACAGGCCAAAAGTTTGGACATACCTTCTCATTCAATGCGTTTTCTTTATTTTCATGACTATTTACATTGTAGATTCTCACTGAAGGCATCAAAACTATGAATGAAACACATGTGGAGTTATGTACTTAACAAAAAAAGGTGAAATAACTGAAAACATGTTTTATATTCTAGTTTCTTCAAAATAGCCACCCTTTGCTCTGATTACTGCTTTGCACACTCTTGGCATTCTCTCCATGAGCTTCAAGAGGTAGTCACCTGAAATGGTTTCCACTTCACAGGTGTGCCTTATCAGGGTTAATTAGTGGAATTTCTTGCTTTATCAAT